TGTGTGTTTTTTTTCTTCTTGTTTTGTATTTTACCACCTGAACAAATGGCCGCTCTGCTCTCCATTCATGGGAGAATATTATGAGCTGGAGCAGCACTGGTTTCCGTGGTAACGCACTGCTCAGTGTTCACAGAGGAAGGAATGTACCGGATGGATGAGGGCATGCACACGACCGCGGATTGGTTCTGTGTATGAGGGCCGAGGAGAAAAACTGCTTTGTGCATAAAGCTTAAATTAAAATCTGTTCTAAAAAATATATATATAATAGAAATATATTTTCCTCAGACGGCAGACTCTTCCTGCTACTGCGTACTGTGAACCTTCGCACATGCCAGCACGACAATATTACCTCTGCACAGCTCTTTCAATTTCATTTCAGGTATCCTGCATCTTTTTGGGATATTGTTTTGAATAAATAGTCTTTATATATTTGTATTTATTTTCTTTAATCTCGTTCTTGGTTGATGTATGCACCAATGCACCTAAGCAAATTCCTTTAATTAATCTACTGCAATTAACATGATTCCTATTCTAACATTTAGAGACTTGTTTGGATCATGTTTGTTATGAAAACACTGACAATAAACTATTTCACCCAGTAAAATATAAAACAAGTTTTAAGGTGGCAATACGCAATTTTTTCTTTGCCTTCACTTGTCATTTTGTAATATATTTTAATTGCAAAACCGAAGGCTTAATAGGCAGTGGTGTCTGTGGTGTTATGAGATTGATCCAGCCCCTTGACAAAAGTTATAATAATTTAATTATGTTATATTGTACATTTTGTGTATATTTTGTAGTTTTATCTCAGAGAAATGTATCTGCATTTTCTTGTGAATTTGTTTGATTAATATTTCAGATAATATATATTTTTAAATCCTGTTAATATGTGAGTGTATTACTTGTCAACGTACCACATTGGTCTCAAAGAGTATTCATGTATTTCTTTCTAACAAATGTTTCTCTTAAATCTTGCAGAACATCCATCCCTGATCTCTGAGTGTTAGCCGCTCTCCAGGCTGCCATTTATTTCCTACAATGGCCACAATACGCCGTCACAGTCTTATCCTTTAAGTAACCTGCTTTGTAATAGGATTACAGTATGACTTATGATGAATGAGAAGAACACACTGTGCTCATGTACAGCCAAGCTCTGCTGACATTCAATTAATAAAACATTATGGCCATGTCGAAAATAAATTACAAAATCATAGCAAGGATAGCAGTTAGCTGGATTGTTAAAGTCAGTATAGTGAAGTTACTGTTACCAATCGATGGAGGTATTGTTTAAAGGATTGTCTATTTGGAGTTACATGAGCGTCCGTGCTGAAACAGGTGTTTGGCCCGCAGCAGGACGCGGTGCATAAAGGCATGTTGTGTCCAAAGCAGTCTGTCGATATGCACAAGACGAGAAAAATAACCGTTGATTTCAGTCCTGATATTGATTCTGTCTCAGCTGCTGCAGGTAACTGGAGCCAGATGTGGATCCAACATCCAGCCGAGCACAGATGCTATCTTTAGGAACACGGCTCGTACTAAATATTTTCAAATCTCTGTATTTCTTACGTTTTTTAGATCTCAGGTTGTATGGTGGTCAGTGGTTTGAAACTAGCCTCATTTGACAAGATATTGGGAAAAATACTGCACTGTGTGTGCAAAGCGGTCAGTGTGAATATGGAACCCAATTATCCAAAATCACTCAAGACCATCCGCTGAGATTAAAGCATCAGCTCGTTCATATAACACAAACACACTCAATAAAGAGGAAACTATAACAGATTCACCTGCTGAGAAAAATATTTGACATCAAGAGGAGAAGTTTGTGTCTGTTTTACATTAAAAGCCGAGAGTCGGCTGATTCGATAGGTCCCAATGTTATGTCATATAAAACGTACTACAACGTATAAAGTAGTTTAAAATAATCTCCAGAGAAGAGTAATCTAATTTAAGATAAGTGGAATTGGGTTAGCATCTGCTCCAAGTTGTCATTTGTATGATGTTTGCTGTAAAAATAAAATATAGGTTAAACAAAATATCAGGAAAGAGAGAATTCCTGCTTGGCATCAAACCCTGGAGGTTTTTAAAACATGTAACTACAACAAGAGCACATCAGGAATCAGGTATCTCCACTTTAATTATAACAACATCATTGTGTCTGCCATTTAAATGTAGTGACACATTGATCAAACAGGTGTATTACTTTGAAGTAAGTAATGTAGTGGACATTTTATTATATCCTGATATGTTTAAACCAAATGCTTCTCATTTGGTTAGATGTGCTGTTTTCAGTCACTAAGCCTCAGGCAATCAATGAGTCATTAAAAAAGGCTTAATAGCTTTATTGAGTCTTAATTTATCCTCCAATTGTGTGACTTCACAGCACAATAATAATGTGCAATAATTAAACTGTGCAATTCTCTGGTTTGCTCTGGCATTGTTCTGCGTGTTACCGCACATCTCCTTAAATATTCGTATCCATCTTGCAGGGAGTTTTTTGCAGCCCTGATTGGTGTTTATTTTCTTGGTAGAGCAGCGGGCACTACGCCTGAGAGGCAAGTATTCGGATGAAATGCTTACGTAAATGTACCAATACCACAATCTAAGAATACTCAGTTAAAAGTAAACGTTTTTTTTATTTGGAAAATGTACTAAAAGTTCAAATAAATGCCACTTTTGAAAATAAAGTGTGTGCCATGTTTACGTTGCTCTTGAAATTGAATACAAATCAACTTATGACTGATAACTACACAAACCTCTCTATAATTAACCTTCCGAATATATATATATATATATATATATATATATATATATATATATATATATATAGAGATGATAAATCTCAGAAAACAGCCTTTGATTATATGTATTGTAAAAGTATTTTGTAAAAAGTGAACATTGTAACATATGGTAACACCATGAAACTGGTTAGTACATTAAGAAAATTATTTTTTGCAACGTTTTCTGAAATGTGTTTAAATATTCAGTTGAGGTTATGTAGAATTCTAACCTTTTGTAAATGTAGGAGAAATCTAAACACGCACAAAGACAGAAAATAGTGAAATAAAAAACGAAATGTGGATTTTGAATGTTCTACTTCCCTTGTAGTTTGAAAGAAGACAAGTGATGTAAGAAAAATCCTCTAAATTTGACCAGTGCAGGAAAACATAGACCCATGTAGATTAAGCTGATCTTATATACTCATATAATACTTTTTAAAAACATCATAATTAGCTTGTTAGAAAGATAGCTGCACGGTAGCCTGTTGCTAGAGACCACCTGTGTGAGGGCTTTTATCATTATAATAAGCACAATAATAACGGGGGTTTTTCATTATAGAGCCATGCTAAGCTACATGAGTGTGTGTGTGTGTGTGTGTGTGTGTGTGTGTGTGTGTGTGTGTGTGTGCGTGCGTGTGTGTGTGTGTGTGTGTGTGCGTGAGTGTGTGCGTGTGTGTGTGTGTGTGTGTGTATGTGTGTATGTATGTATGTATGTATGTATGTGTGTGTGCGCGTGTGTGTGTGTGGGATCAGGTGCAGTAAGAGCCAGCTATTAGTCTGGAGATGTCCCGTTGTCATGGATACGGAGGTGATCCAGATAATAAGCATAAGGATAAGCGTTGGATTTCTGCGTTTTCTCTCTAAATAAAAGCACCATTACTGCTGGTTAGTGGGGGGGGGGGGGGCGCGGGCCTGCAGGCTCCCCGGAACATTTGATCCTCTTCAACACCTCCAGGTTTCCATTCACTGCCGATTCCTCCTCTTCTTCTTATTCCTCCATAATGTCAACCGGAAGAAGCAGAAACCAGCCTTCTACAATTAATATTCATATCTTCATGCGTGTTTTCCTAATCATTGTTAATTAATCTGTGATTCGGCTCGCGCTGTTATGTAACCCTCCGCCCCCCGCAGCCAGAAACAGATGATCACATTTAACTAGCCTCCACCCGCAAAGCGAGCAGGAAAAGGAGGAAGAGCCTACCTTGATCTGAGTCTCCACCCGGGTCATCTTTACAACTCCTCTCCTCTCATGGAAAATGTTCCTGCTCAGGTTTCCGGGTTCTGATGATCAGCTCTGTGCAAAAAAAACACCGAGTGAAGGAGAGCCACTAGTTCCCTTGTTCCTCCATCCTCAACACGGAGAAGACATCCGTCAGCCTCCACCCCTCAGCTGAGAGAGAGAGAGAGAGAGAGAGAGAGAGAGAGAGAGAGAGAGAGAGAGAGAGAGAGAGAGAGAGAGAGAGAGAGAGAGAGAGAGAGAGAGAGAGAGAGAGAGAGAGGTGTGGTCATATGGGAACACAACGTGCTTATTATAATGCATGTAGGAGTATATATATATATATATATATATATATATATGTAGTATAGCAGCTTAATATATGATATATGAAGCTGCTATAAGAGGAGGAGGGAGGCTGACTGTAGTAGAGCATCAGTTCCAGGCAGAGAGGGAACAAGAGGAGGAGTTTTTATTTATGTTGCATTTAGAAAATAGTGTCGAGAAAAAACTCGAACTTTCAGCAAATGCTATTAGTTTCAACGATGTTAACATTTATTCTCATAATGCTACTACTCTAAATGCTATTTTTATTCTCAACCATAAAAGCTTAACATATATATAATGTTAAAAATATTGACACACACACGCTAATTGCACACACATGGATTATCAGAAAAATTAAGAATCATAAGAATACAAAACTACATTATTTCTAAAGAATATATTACGTTCAGTTTATTATTAGACATCACGACTCTATTCTTAAAATGCTGGAAATGCAAATCCTTTTCTGGTAATGTTCTTTTCTTATAGTGTTTACAGTAATATACTAGGTTATAAACCTAAAAGTAATATTCTTAAAGGACATTATCAGAAATACTGAAATTAAGTATAAAAAAAAAAATGATATTTATAAATAATACCTACAGTATTTAGTTCTGTTAGAACATAATAATAAATCAAAAGAACAGGGGTCTCGTGGTGGAGCTCTCCGTGGTGCTGATCTTCTCCAAACCGCTTCTTTATTTCTGACCGACATTCAAAGATGGACGCCGTTAATCAATCGGTTTCACGGTGAAACAGATCATTAACTTTGTGTAAAATGTTCCAGAAGCTTCTGTAAATAAACGGACACATTGTGAAATCATTTATCAGTTGTTTTTTTACTTTCACCATAAATAAAAAAAGAAAATGACATTTATTTTTTCACTGCAAACAACCTCAAATAATACTGTAGAACTATAGCTTCCTAGAAGCTAACAGAAACAGATCAATAACAATTAAAACAATTGCAACACATACAAGTGTAAACCCAGATTAGTTGTGTTGCATCACTTCTGCATTTATTTGTTTAAATTACAACAAAACAAGCTATTAAATGATGGATGTCGGCGACGATGTCTGAAGGACTCTCACTTGAGGTAAAAAAGTAAATAGTGTATTGGTTACAATCACAAGGTGCTTCATTATCAAGTACAGTAGGAAATAACATTTAACTTAGCTCTGACTCTACTTCAACGCTTCGGTGGGTTTTCTTAACGTGGTGATGTTAACAAAACATGTGGAACGAGAGTTGACATTAAATAGGAATAACTATTGATTATCTCCGTGACAATAATAAATATACATGTTCAAAGAAATGAAAGAATGTGTAAACAACTGCATCACATCTGCATTAGAGTGCAAACACTGCAGCTACCTTTCATTCTCTAACATTTAAATTAAGAGTCAAATGTGAAGACTAATCAAATGGATACCACCCAACCTTCTCACATCTTCAAAAACACGCTCCTCAGGAGGTTGCATAATTAAAATATACTCTGTTTATCCAAAAAAGGAACAGGCTCACAGTTCATCTGCATAACTTAGTCCTGAAAATACAGATCTGACATCAGACTTTCAATATTCAATATTTACCACAAGGTCCTTTTGATCTGGAGAGGTGAATAGATGACATGTTAGTTTAGGGAAAGCCAGGAGAAGTTGGGTGTGGTCACATGTGTTTTTAGACGTGTAACCACACCTTAAAGTGATGGACTGCACATCACTACGCTCAAGTGACAAATTAAAACACTGGAGGTCCGAAGATTTTATATTTTTAAGGGCTGCTACTTTACTTTCATCAAAACGAATGCAGTCTTAATACAACAGTCCTACACTTAACCTTTATGAAGGTTAGCATTTCAATTCTTTCTAGGATTTACAGCAGGATTTTTCATTAGAAAGCATTAGTTTTAACTGCTTAAAGGTAGGGTAGGTAAGAATGGAGAAACCAGCTCGAGTGTTGAAAGTACGCAGCCGAAAACAATCTGCCCCTTCCTTCAGACTTCCTCACAGAGCCCCTCCTCCAACACACACGAACGCGCACATGACCAATGAGGACACGAGATAAGTCTGTGCACAGATGGAAGGCTGACAGGCAGGCAGGCCATCCAGTTACTTTAGCCGGGCCGGCTCAGGTGATTGGTCGTGCTTTTTTACTTGGATTTTCAATAAAATCTTAATATTTTAGGGAAATGTAAGATACTAAGATGTTAAACCATGACTAGAAGAAGTCAAATATCAAGATATCAGCACAACATATTGGCGATATCAAAACTAAATAAGGCTAGTGCAGTCTTGCAATAACTCTTCCATTATGAAGGTTAGTTTTTCAGTTCTTGAGTCATGATTTAATGCAGGACTGCTGTATTAGATCACATTATTACATGGCTTAGTTGAATACTCGATTCTGATTGGTCAAGTGACACGTTGTTAATCCAGAACAGACAGACCGTAAAGGACTTATTGACCGTTGTTAAGGACGCTCACATCTGCACAAACAAGTCCGGTCGATTTAACTGTTTTGCTTTTCGAACTGGGACAAGAAAACAGCGGAGAAGTAACGGGCAGAAACCCTCCTTTTTACGCAGCGGTCCAGACATAGACATCAAACAGCGACACATATTCAGTGTGCAGTTCCTTTGGCATTAGGGCAGGGATATCTAGATACTTCCCAAGGTCTGACATCATGAATTGTGCTACTGTTAAAAGCAAGCAACGATGTTTTCAAATCTGTAATCAAAAAGCTCCTCAAAAAACGCTATCGAAGCAGTTCCTGCCGTCGCAACGTTAGTTCAAACGGACTATTTTTCTTAGCGGATGCATGTCATTTTAAATAAATATACTATTTTTTAAATCAATAAAAAGATTTCAATTAATATTGGGAGTCATATCGTTACTTTGTTGAGAATGTGGCCGTGTGCAGCGACTTGGTCATTATGGGGAAAGGACCCCCTTCATGTCGGGTGTTCTTTTCCCCATAATGACCGCCTCACTATCCCTTACTTAATAATAACTAGGTGTCATAATCAATTACAGCTGAGATTTGTTCTTCACTTCTTTCTTCATAATAAATGAGAATATGTTTTGATTAAGCGCAGAATACTTACATGTTGGTTTTCAAAAGGGTCACATTTTACGGATATCAGCTCAAAATATTGGCGATATCAAAACTAGTCTTGCAATAACTCCTTCTTCATGAAGGTACTTTTTCAGTTCTTGATTGTTGTACAAGACCACATTAATAATAGCTAGGTGTCATAATAAATAAAAACTGAGATTGTTTGTTTTCTTCACTTTGATAAATAATACATTTGAATATTTTTGGGGAATACTTACATGTTGGTTTTAAAAAGGGTCACATTTTAAGATATCAGCACAAAATATTGGCGACTTCAATACAAAAACCAATATCGGCCGAGTCATAGTAAAAATGGAACATCCTCCCTTGTTGCCCTTTGGTCCCACCCGCGCTCTGAGTCCCTGCAGCCTCACCACCACGTGATCTTGAACTCGTAGATGGGCCTCTTGCAGTAGTAGTGGTTGATCAGGTGTTTGTCACAGACGCCGATGCACTGCTGCTCCGCCGTGATGCCGCGCTCCGACAGGTCGCTCACGATGCAGTGCAGCAGGTCGTAAACGTCCGCCACCGCCTCCCAGGGCCCGAAGGAAACGTCCACCTCGCAGTGATGCTCGAACAGCTTGGCCTCGCTGTCCGAGCGCTCGAAACGCAGAGAGTTAAACAGCGGACGCTCGTACGGCGTGATGGGCATCTCCTCTTTGTACACGCAGATCTTCAACTTGGCAAAACGAGCTTTCTTCTGCATGGCCCTCAGTTTGGCGATCTCCACTATGCGCTCCAGATTGTCTGAAACCAAAACAGTTGCATTTATTATTGTTATTTTAAAATGCATAATAGCCTTATTTGTGGGTTTTTTCACGTCCAAGTTCCTTGACAGTGAGTCTCACACAACATGTTACATACTGTTATATACAACGGCGTGTAACATGGTGGCACGCGTGCCTAGGGTTGCCGACCCCTGATTTAGAGTCATTGCGTGCCTATTGATTTGAACACGATCCGTGTATCCATCATTTCCTGGTCTTCTCTAAAGAAGAGGGACCAATGGAAACGTTGTCATGTTGCCGTTGTTCAGCATGGAAACATTCATTAGCTAACAATGACATTATTGTTCTATTAATATAAAGGGAGGCGTGAGAGCACTGCAGGTACCTCTGTAGTAGGGCATCAGGTCCAGGAAGGCTTGGCGAACCCTCTCCCCTGTGAGCGGCTGCGTCTCCTCCAGGCTGTCGAGCAGCGGGCCGAGGGCGTAGTACTGCGCCTCCCTGTGCACCGCCCGCACCCTCTCTCTGTGGGGCAGCTCCCCCTCCCGCAGGAAGTTCAAGATGTCCCTATGAATAGAAACAAGCATCACTACAACAAATCCACACAGACAAATGTATTCCTTATTTAGAGTTGTTTTGAATCTATTTTCAGACAAACTTCCCCCTTAATAGCTATATATCGAAGAGGCCCTATTGTGCTTTGTGGGGTTTTCCCTTTCCTGTAGTGTGTTGGTGTGCATGTAAATGGTCAGCAAAGGTTAACATGCTTGTGTTCCCTCCAGAGTGGGTTTCTCTCCCACACACTGCAAACATAATTGACAGAGTAAAAGCAAGGCTTATAGGCAACCAATCTAAAAGCCTCTGATGTCTATAGCTTTTAAAGTGTGCAATCAATAATACTTTTATAATGATCAGTTTCAGCAAAGAAAAACATTCTGGGTGTGACCCTAGATAACAACCTGTCCTTCACTGCAAACATCGCTGCTACAACCCGCTGCTGCAGATACACGCTTTACAACATCAGGAAGATACGTCCCCAGCTGACTCAGAAAGCCACGCAGGTTCTGGTCCAGGCTCTCGTCATCTCACGCCTAGACTACTGCAACTCCCTCCTGGCTGGTCTACCTGCATGTGAATGCAGGGTTGGGTCCAAGAATGCAGGGTTGTTGGTTGTTCCTAGAGTCTCTAAAAGTACAATGGGAGCCAGAGCCTTTTCTTATCAAGCTCCACATTTGTGGAATCAGCTTCCAGTTTGTGTTTGGGCGGCAGACACCCTATCCGTTTTTAAGAGTGCGCTTAAGACCTTCCTTTTTGATAAAGCTTATAGTTAGGGCTGATTAGATTCAGCCCCTAGTTTTGCTGATATAGGCTTAGTTTGTCGGGGGACATCTTACTTCTTCCTTCTCTCTGTCTATACCTGTGTACTCTCATGTTCCGATTAACCCAGCTTCCCCAAATGTATTTCTTTTTGGTGTCTATATACGCCGGGATCCGGAGTCATGGATGATCCTGCGCTCCTCTGTCCTGGATCTTGAGTCGTGGCTGTGGTCCTGGATCATAGGTCCTGGATGGATATCCTCGTGGATTCATCTTCCTATTATACACACATGCATTTCCAAACATTTGGACTACCTATGTTGCAAATGTATTATCTTTTCAATTTACACACGGCATCTATTGCACGTCTGTCCGTCCTGGGAGAGGGATCCCTCCTCTGTTGCTCTCCCTGAGGTTTCTCCCATGTTTCCCTTTAAACTGTGGGTTTTCTTCGGAAGTTTTTCCTTGTACGATGTGAGGGTCTAAGGACAGAGGGTGTCGTATTGTCATACTGATATTTTGTACAAACTGTAAAGTCCACTGAGACAAATGTAACATTTGTGATATTGGGCTATATAAATAAACATTGATTGATTGATTGATGTGCCCTCCGACCTCTGCAGCTCATCCAGAATGCAGCGGCTCGTCTGGTCTTCAACCTTCCTACATTCTCCCACACCACTCCGCTCCTCCGCTCCCTTCACTGGCTTCCGGTAACTGCAAGAATCCACTTCAAGACACTGGTACTTGCGTACCATGCTGCGAATGGATCTGGCCCTTCCTACATCCAGGACATGGTTAAACCGTACACCCCAGCGCGTGCACTACGCTCTGCATCAGCCAAACGACTCGCTGCACCCTCACTGCGAGGGGGACCCAAGTTCCCATCAGCAAAAACACGTCTGTTTGCTATCCTGGCTCCAAGATAGTGGAATGAGCTCCCCATTGACATCAGGACAGCAGAAAGCTTACACACCTTCCGGCGCAGACTGAAAACTCATCTCTTTCGACTCCACTTCGAGCGATAGAACTTTTAACAAAGCACTTATATACTAATAAAGGACTGGCTTATCTAAAGCCAGTTGAGTAGCACTTGAAATGTTTGGCTCTATGAAACCTGATGTACTTTTATGATTCTGTTTTCTTCAAGGTTGTATCTTCTTGGTCGAACGCACTTATTGTAAGTCGCTTTAGATAAAAGTGTCAGCTAAATTTAATGTAATGTAATTTTGAAAGCCACATTCAGTAAAGAATGAGAGTATTGTATTGTATCATCACTGCTCAGTATATTGAGGGTTTCTGACAGCTGGACTCAAAGCCCTGGTATGATTCAACGTACTTGACCAATAAATGAATGTTGATTTTCTGCTTCGCTGCAGCAGAATCTGGAGGGCTTTTGAACATAGAGAAGAAAATGAATGCGGAAAAATACTGAGAAGTCCTGCAGGAGAAAAAGCTGCTGCAGTGTACAACACAACAGCAAGATGTGTTCCCCAGACAAAGACAAAAGCCTGAAAACACAGAGCAGGCTGTAAAGACGTTTTTATTTCGTTACACATCCTCCCAGCTCCTTGCTTTTCCATCTCTCACCCACACCCCCTCACATTCACACAGAACTGACCTCAGCCCAACCCACTCTTACAGAAGTCATACATCTTGACTCAGATTGTGATCACATTCATATTTTAAAAGACTTTCTTTCGCCTCTTAGCGACGCTAGCAGCCCACTTTGGTCCGGACTTAAATATCTTATGAAACGTTGTACATCCGGTACTCTTCCCCAGACGATGACTTCTCCTTCAAACCCCAGCTTGAGATTGACGTTTGAGTGAAATGTCTCGACAGCTATGGGATGGATTTCATTCACACATCTCAGAAACTATTTTAATCATTTAATTATAGATTTTACTCTAAATGATTATTTCATTTTTACATTTATTTCCAAATATAATTTGTTCAGCTCTGTTTGGATTTACACTCACATTATAACATTCACTTTTTAGAACGTGTATATTTTGAATTTCTCCTCACTGTTAACATGTTTACGTTTCTGGCATTTTGTGCTTTTGCACCTTATTATTATTCCTAATGTCTACACTTTATGTTTTTGTTCTTCATATATTTAAACTATTTCCAAATCTGTCCTCTGGTTATTAAAGTTGTATCTCTTGTTATCTCTTTCCCATCAGCCTCGGCTGTACTTTGTATTGAATGCTTTTGTTAGAATGATTATAAACTAATCTAATTATACCTTATAAGCTCGATAGCATGCTGATATTAGCATTTTAAAGCCTCATAGAGCTGCTAGCATACACTCTTATTGTGTCTGTTTGGAATGTAATTCTACTCGATTACAGTTGATTCACAATTGAATGTCATTATATGATTAACTGTGACTTTACTTTCATTTGTCTGTATATACAGCGTCGAACAGAGAGGAGGAGAAGGTGTGTCAGACCGAACAAAAACACAAAACAGGTACGAACATGCAGTGCAATAGCCAACAACAGAAGGAGATTTATAAATACGAATGAGAGGAAACTAATACGTTGCAGGGTAACGACCCCCTGGGGATGTTTACTGAAGTGTTGGTTTTTTAGCACAGATAAAAGAGATCGAATCTGGAGGCGAAACAAACGTTTTAGAAATCGTTGTGAAGTTTTCTTGATATCAGTAACAGAGGACAAACACAAAGGTCAATCGCTGCAACCTTTTGTCAGTTTCCTCTCCACTTTGTTAAAGGTCACTTTAACACAAAGACACACAGGCCCTTTTTCACTGGTATCGACTTCTAGATATCAACGAATAAGCAGGAAAATAAATATGTAAATCAGTTCAAACTCAGGGAAACCTGTCAGAAAATATAATGAGCTGTCATCAGCAGCTTTAAAACGTCTTACAGATTGCAGAGCGTTAACTTTTTTTCAAACGTTTCACTCTCACACTTCGCCTGCTCTCCCAAGCGTTTCTGACTTATTCATGAGCAAAATGCAACCCTTCTATAGATCTGTTAACAGTAACCATATCAAATCAGTTCGATAATATGAATGTTGTCTTCTTCTTTGCACTACTGCTCAAAAGTTTGGAATCAGCTGTTGTAATGTACAAAACAACTATTAGGCCGCAAGGTGAACCTCGAAAAGTCCTTTAGAAAAGAAATCCCGCTCCACAGAAGTGGAACTACATAATCTTTAGTTCATAAAAAACAACGAGTCATGCTTATCCACCAAAGAAAAGTTCGTCGCTAAAATTCCTGTCAATTCTTCTAGGCACGTAATTATTGGCTGAACTAGTCCCTTCAAAGCGTAATAATATCTTGGTCAAAAGTAGTGCCACGGTTTGTCACGTGATCGTGCTACACCAATTGGGTAGCTGCATATTGTCAACAGAAGTGAAAGATGGCCGCCTCCATGGTTACGCTAAACCAGACCAAATGGATTCTAAACAGTGCTGTATGCTTGTTTTATGTCATGTTTTGTCATATGTCTTAATACATCACTAAGTCCGAGGTATTTGCGTTATATACGCGGTATTTGTGAGAGGTTTTACTATCTGGGAACAGAGTTGACCATCGAATCAACATTGGCTAGCAGCGTTTATCAGCCAACTCCAGCTACAACAACATTCCTGGACTACCATGTTCGCATCGCTAGGTTCATTGGCTGAGCTCGTGGATTATTCCATTAGACTGAGACTTTTTGTCTGTCTGTTGTCTATGGTTACCTGTACCCGTTAAATGCACTCTTACAATAAACATGACTTGATTTCATACATAGCTGCGTCCAGAAGGTTAACTTGTTACGTTAAGTAATTTAGATCAATACAATGCAGTACTTATACCAATGACCATTGATTCATTTATTTAATCATTCATCATATAATAATTTGATGAATGCATTATTATTATTATAGATTATATTATAGATCTATAATAGATATTATTATAGACTATCTAGATTATTATATATATATAAGATTATTATTATAGATATATATAGATTATTATATAGATATATAGATTATTATTATAGATATATATAGATTCTTATTTATATATATATATAGATTCTTATTATAGATATATATAGCTTATTATTATCGATATATATAGAATTATTATTATATCTATAGATTATTATTATAGATATATTATAGATTATTATTTATATATATATATAGATATTATTATAGATATATATAGATTCATTATTATATATATATATAGATTATTATTATAGATATATATAGATTATTATTTATAGATATATATAGATTATTATTATATATATATAGATTATTATTATAGATATATATAGATTATTATAGATATATATAGATTATTATTATATATATACTATAGATTATTATTATATATATAATATAGATTATTATTATAGATATATATAGATTATTATTATAGATATATAGATTATTATTATATAATATATATAGATTATTATTATAGATAATATAAGATTATTATTATATATATATATAGATTATTATTATAGATATATATAGATTATTATTATAGATATATATATATATATTATATTATATTATTATTATTATTATTATTGTAATATGATAATATTGTATTTGTAACTTCAAAATCAATGCCACCGTTGTAAGCTTGTCCTGTACGTATTCCATCTTGTATTGGTAACATAATCAACCTTTTCGTGCTTCACAGACGTAATATGCATGTAACAATGTTTGTGTGTTGAGAATTTTGACTTTTTGAGACTTTCTGGTGCATTTTCCTCGTCCCCGCTACTCGATGAAACCATGGCGGTCGCCATTTTTTCCAAATCTGTTTGTTGATACCGGTATATGCAGCTACCCAATTGGTGTAGCACGATCACGTGACGGACCGTGGCACTACTTTTGACCAAGATATTATTACGCTTTGAAGGGACTAGTTCAGCCAATAATTACGTGCCTAGAAGAATTGACAGGAATTTTAGCGACAAAGTTTTTTTTGGTGGATAAGCATGACTCGTTCTTTTTTATGAACTAAAGATTGTGTAGTTCCACTTCTGTGGAGCGGGATGAAACGATAACAGGGTTCACCTTATGGCCTATATTTGTAAAGAGGACTTTTCACATCCTAAAAGCTTGAGTGTGTCAGAAACCTGAAACCAATAGAAGAGCTGTACAAGAGAGCTATCAGGGTGTTTGACAGAAAGCCTTATTCATGCCACCACGGCACCATCCTCGAAAAACACAATTTCTTAAGTTTTGACAATTTTAAGTCTTTTAAAAAGTATGTGTTTTATTTATAAATGTTTACATGGACTGCCCCCCCCCCCCCCCCCCCCCCCCCCCCATTAATTATTGAATGAAAATCTGCTGTTCCTATTTGACAAAAAACAACTCTCACACACTTACTGCAACTCACCCAAAGTATGTTCCGTCCCGATCTATGAAGTATCGTCCCTCAGCATCTCGAGGGATGTAGTGGCGCCCGCTGAACATGGCGGCCAACATGGTGTCCTCGTGCCGCCGCAGCGTGGACAGGCGGGTCGTGAAGTACGTGCCCCCGACGTTCAGAGAGATGACCTCTGGGAACTAGGAGAGGCAGGAGATACAAATGAAGGTAATGTGTCAATGAGATTGTTGGGAAAATTCTGAATGTCCTCTTCCAATATGAGAGTAACATGATAACAAAGGTATCCCAACTGTAGCTGAGTTCATGACAGGATGTGTGATTACCTAGAAGAGCATCAGGACTGTTTTAGGCATAGCTATGTGATTAACATGATGATTCAGCCTCTATGGAGATAGACATGTGACAAGCATGCTCATTTCTGACGTGGAGCTAATCTGAAGTAAACATTGAAGACTGCTTTCTATTCCTCCATGTTGTGACTGTGTAACTCCCTCTCTTGGATATCAGCATGTGAAGGACACTGTTCAGGAACTACTTGATGCTCTGTATGTGATGACCAACGCAACGCAAAAATGTCCCAAATTGGGATCAATAAAGTATCCATCCATCTATCCATCTATCCATCTATCCATCTATCCATCTATCCATCTATCCATCTATCCATCTATCCATCTATCCATCTAACTATCTACTTCCATTCTTGCAAGGATAATAAATACATGTATCCTGATATTGAAGCTCAAGCCGGCAACGAGTGATATTTTTCTAACAGAGATAATCCAGTATGACACATGTTATAGTAATTCAAGAATGTACATTTTGAAAGAACAACAAGGCGTTAAAGTGTTATTTAAACCACTTATAATGTTGAAAGGACCTTTTTTGATGAGACACAAGAGTGCAAATGTTTGTGTAATTCCCCATGAGATGGTACATCATATAAACAGATAGATCCGCACAACAAAAAGAGTGTTTTAATGCTGCTGTTTGTAATAATAATAATACATGTTATTTATATAGCGCTTTTCCTTGTGCTCACAGCTCTTCCCCATCCAAAATCAGCCATTACAACGTGCTACTACTGCATAAAAGCGGGCGCGGCAGACTGACAAACCCACATGTATTTGTGCAATTATTACAAAATTCACTAGCTGTGTCATCACAATGTTGACATTTTAATTTAGAAATTGCCCACCATCAACGAATACAAACACGTGCACACATGCGTGGCACACATTTGGTAAGAAATCAATGTGAGCTGGCCCAGATATATCGATATCGTTTTTATTCATCTGTTGTGCACAACATGTTTTTGAAAATACAGATTTTTTCTAGGAGTTTTTATTTTGATTCAAGCACTTTCGTAACCTTAAAGTAGTACTGAAAGCTGGTTGAGCTGCAACGATATGTTAATGGTTGGGAGAGAATTGCCATCTTTTTGGATAGTTGATTAATTGTCGAAGTATTTTTAATGCGGGAAAAAAAATGATAAAATGTTTTAGTTTTTAGCCTCTGAAATATAGAGGTATCCTGCTTTTCTCCATTTTATATAATTGCATTAAACATACAATTAATCTAGAAAATAATCATCAGATTAAAGATAATGAAGTTTATGATTTAAGGCCGCTACATATTGGACACACTAGGTTCAAAGTAGAACAGCTTATTTCCTTGTTGTTTATTGGACCAGAGAATTCAATAAATCACCGGACCCAGTTTTAAAAGCTAATTCAACACCTCTTCAGATGAATCCAAAGGGCTGTGAATAGCCTGTATTGACTGCAGGTCAGACTACAGAAATAAAAGGATTATTCAACTGCAATCCAAGTTAACACAAGTCATGTGACACAACTGTCGACCAATCAGGACGCGGCCTAGGGTCAAGACCACTGACCCCTTCTGTATGAATAGCCATAAACAGTCGAAAGTGAAATTATCAGTCAGGATGAACTAAGAATGTAGTTAACATTTGACACTAGAGATAATATGTTTTATTATTATATGGAAGTTTGAACTGACTTTAACTTTCTCTTCTTTTTAATAGTAGCCATTGACTAATGAATCCTTTGTTTATTAAGACAGTTATACTTACTCAAGTACTGTACTAAAGTAAAACTATGACACACTTTTACTTCACTCAAGTGTCATTCTACTTTCTACTGCATGTAGAAAATGTTGTGCTGTTTTTTACTGTTACTTTGCAAAATCCTAATGCAAAAAAGAATGACTAAATGACTAATAATGTAGATAAACATAAGGCTTTATTCATCGCTTGATACCCTGCACATAAGTTCATTTAGTAAATAATTAATGCAATAAATACTACAATACAATTTATAAATAGGCCATTCTGCATTATGTGTATTTTTACTTTTTGTAGCCTACTTTAAGAAGGCTATGTTTTGATGCTTTACTTCATTAATTTAAGTAAAATGTGTACTTGTTTACTTTCTACACTGTAACGTTACTGTTTGAACGTAAGTAATGGATGTGAGTACTCCTTCCACCATGGGTTATTTAGTACTAATACCTTTCAAGTTAAGAACTACATATCATGTCAATGTGTTAGCTTGTTTGTTTGCTGGTTTCACGTGATTTTCTCCCGGTCCAGCAGCTCTGTACCGCGGCTCGGCCTACCTCCTGCTCCGGTGTGTTGAACGCGGAGCGGAGAGTCTTGCTGAGGGCGAAGCTCGGCGTCGGGGAGGCCGGTTTTCTGAACTCGTCCTCGGCAGCCGTAGTGGAGCCAGAGCTGCCGGACATGGCATCACCCGGTTTCTCGGTGTCCTCCGCGGCCGAGAAAACCACCATCACCCTGGGTAGAGGCAGCGCCCGTCTCTCCTGGATGAAGCGCCTCACCCGAGTAGTGGCGGCGGGCAGCGGGCTGAAGGACGGAGCCTGCTGCCGCTCCTGCCGCTCCCTGCCACCGCCGCTCCCCTCAGAAGAACCGTTAGACCCGTTAGAACCGTTGGGACCGCTCGAGCCATTCTGCTGCATGCGCGCGGCGAGCCAACCGTTGGGCGGCGGCACCGAAATCACGGGACGATAGCTGCACGAGCCACGGTGAGCGACTGCTATTAAAAACAACAACAACACAGGGTGGGGAGCGAGCAGCTGCCGGAAGAAACACACCCCCGCCTTCAGAGCCGAACCGGAAGTAGGGGCACTCCGTCTTTCAATAATTAAACATTAAAAGAAACTGCACATATTTAAACCAAAGTGTTTTAGGTGAGCAGTCCAAAGCAAACAGGGCCCACAAAGAAGTCTCCACGCTGTCACGTATTGTGACGTCATCACGCCAAGGAGCGCTCTTAAAATAAATAATAAATGATATCAACACGTGGCAAGAGAATCACAACTTAGTTTATGTGAAATATATCACCTTTTTTTTACTTTGTATGTTGTCACCGTTTGTGTGTGTGTGTATATTCTATGTCTATATTTTTTCTTGAATGAATACGATTTTAAAAAAATAGGTTCAAAACAGTAGTAAAATATTGTACTGTGACTTTTAGAAATGTTAATGTTATCACAACCTGCTGCCACCAAAATATATTAAAGCAAGGCATCAATACATGTAGATACATCTGCAATTAGAATATATAGTACTTCATTATTTTCTAATTTATTATTAAATCAAAATACATGTACTAAATGTATTGAATGCATGTGGTGTAGATTAACATTTACAATACATAATATATTAAGAAGCAAAACAAAGAAGCTCCTAAAGTAAAGTACAATTACCTCAAACATTATACCAGAGTTCAGTACAAGTAAATGTGCTGTATGATTGTCCTAATATTAAGATAAGGTGTATAGTTGATTTAAAAAAGCAGCTGTTGTCAATTACAACAGAAACATATGTCATATGACATGTAATGTAATATGAATGTTCCTTTTATTATTATTTATTTTTTGTATTTTCTATGACTTGAATAAGTTGATTTAGCAAAACCTTTTTATTATTGTTTGTATTTTTGGCTGATCTGTGTTGCTAATTTCACTTCAGTAAAACAACTAGTCCTTCCACCACTGCATACAACAACATGTGCAGACCTGTCATTTAAAAAAACATCATTATTCAGCTTGGATTAAATGTGTTTAAAGGATGTTTTTACTGTGTCCACTCCTCAAAGCACACAGAGATCAGACGAGCAGCTTCGGGGAGGTCTTCTCTGCCTCGAGTGTGACGGATGTGGGGAGATGTTGAAAAAGGAAACTCTTTGCTGCTGCTGAGCAGAAAGAGGGCAGCGGACCACTGGAGGTAAAATACTTCAATCATTATTGAGTGAGTTACATCTAACATAATGGCTCTAGTTGATGTCTAATATTATCTTTAAAATGTTTGTGTTTGTAGGGGTGTAAAGTAACTAAGTAGACTTACTCAAGTTTGTGCTTACAATTCTGAGGTACTTGTAGGCCTACTTTACTGGAGTATTTCCATGTTATGCTTCTTTGTTCTTCTACTCCACTACAATTCAGAGGTAAATCTCGTACTTTTACTCCACTACATTTATTTAATACCTTTAGTTACTTCACAGATCTGGATGAATGATGTGAAATATAATCAAGTGTTAAATCAGACTTTAGTTCCACCTGGAGTAAATTCACAAGCTACCCTGCAGTATACAAAGTCATTCGAACTAGCTGCACCTTTACCAGCTTTGAGAACACTTTCATGATCAATCATTAAAAAACATGTCATATATATTATTCTGAAATGGACCAATCTGCACAAAGACTACTTTTACTGTCGCTACTTTAAGTACTTTTACGTTTTTTTACTCTGCACTGTTTCTCAATAAATAAAAAACTCATAACTAATTTGTTGAAATAACAAATGTTTAAACTAATGGAAGAATAGACATGGAAGATATTCATTCGTTACTTCAAGACACCCTAAATTCACATACAGACAAAATGTCGCTTCAAAATGCTGGAGAGAGTGCGGAGAGCAGAAGGAGAACAATGATTATATGCTTTGTTCCTGTAATGTTTTGTGCTGCTTCTTGGAAATAGTTATTGTTGGCATTTTTCAAAACAAGAATCCTCTATTTCTTGGGAAAACACCAGAGGCAATACAACAAAAAGATTGCCTAACCCTAACCCTAACCCTTTCAGTGACATAAGCAATCATTAACAAATCACAAGGAATTGGCTAAAAGATAATAACCTAATCAACTCACGATGGAACAACCTAGTAAATGAAATGTACGGAATAGAGAAAATGACAATGAGAATTAGAAACCAAGTTCATATTTTAGATTAAATATGGGTAAAGTATAGAGCACAAAACATGTATAATTAACATGAAGAACTGACACTTAAAGTACACCTAATAATGTCTCCATTATGTTTTTGCCATGTATTATTGTTTCATTTTGTTCCTGATTTGTCGACAGCTATGTAGATAAGTTATGTATCTATCTGTGTTTATTTGGTTAAAGGTGGGGTAGGTAAGTTTGAGAAACCGGCTCGAGATACACTTTTTGTTATATTCCATGGAATGCCGATAGCAATGAATATCTTAAGTGCTTTGACAATAAATACATAAACAAATGTCATCTGTGGAAGCCGTAGTACTGTAAAAAGCACGACCAATCATTTTAGCCAGGGCCGGCTAAAATAACTGGATGGCCTACCTGCCTGTCAGCCTTCCATCTGTGCACAAACTTATCTCGTGCCCTCATTGGTCATGTGCACGTTCGTGTGTGTTGGAGGAGGGGCTCTGTAAGGAAGTGACAGATTTTTTCCGGCTGTGTATTTTCAAATTCTAGCGCACTCGAGCTGGTTTCTCCAAAATTACCTACCCCACCTTTAACGGTAGGTAAGAATGGAGAAACCAGCTCGAGTGCGCTAGAATTTGAAAGTACGCAAGCGAAAAAAATCTGCCCCTTCCTTCAGACTTCCTCACAGAGCCCCTCCTCCAACACACACGAACGCGCACATGACCAATGAGGGCACGAGATAAGTTTGTGCACAGATGGAAGGCTGACAGGCAGGTAGGCCATCCAGTTATTTTAGCCGGGCCGGCTCAGATGATTGGTCGTGCTTTTTACAGCGCCACGGCTTCCACAGATGACATTGTTTAATGTATTTATTGTCAAAGCATTTCATGTATTCATTGCTATCGGGATGTTAAGAGCATTCCATGGAATATAACAAAAAGTGTTTCTGAAGTGAATTACCTTCCCCACCTTTAAGTAGGCTTTGTAAATAATTTCTGCACAAATAGTACAATACAAGAAGAAGTATTATTGGCAGAAAAGGAATTGAAGAGTCTTGAGCAAAAACACATTATGCAATACTTCCTTGTGAACAGCACAGAGAGGTTTCTGGGAAAAAAACGTTATCCACTTCCAAAGTGAATGGAGAAGTGAACGAGACACTCTGACGCCTCTGACCTCATTCAGGGTCTTCATTAGACACATAAAAACAACATTTAGTAGATGATTAGTGGCTTTAGCAGCACAGCTCAGAACAGGAAGTCCCTGCAGCTGATGATTAAAACCACACATATTATCACTGATATACATCAATCATCGAGCAGTCGTCTCACAAGTAAAAGTCCTCCATTCAAAATGTCACTCAAGTAAAAGTACAAAATGATTAGCATCAAAATAAACTTAGCGTAGCGACAGTAAAAGTAGTCATTGTGCAGATTGGTCCATTTCAGAATAATATATATGATATGTTTTATAATTATTGATCATTAAAGTGTTCTCAAAGCTGGTAAAGGTGCAGCTAGTTTGAATGACTTTGTATACTAAAGGTATTAAATACATGTAGTGGAGTAAAAGTACACCATGTACCTCTGAATTGTAGTGGAGTAGAATTACAAAGTAGCACAAAATGGAAATACTCAAGTATGTTTAAGTACCTCAACATGTTACTTAAGTACTTGAGTAAATGTACTTAGTTACTTACTATAACTCTTGTGTTTTTTTTAAATTATTTTTATCATATCTTATGTTATATAGTATTGTATCTTTCCAGCTATCGTGTCTCATCCTATATTACCGTAACTACGATATATTATTCAATTTTATCCACTATTATCATATCAAATCGATGTGATGGAACTGATGTATAAAGTTGCCAACAATGGAAACACTTTAGTAAAGTATAAGCAGTACTTAAAGGGGTGTAAATGTACTCAGTTTCACTACTGATGCTTCCGAAGCGTAGGTGTCAGTTTTAGATACAGTTGAGGTTTCATTTTGTTTTAGCCAACCACATCCTGAGGACTGCTCTGTCTCAACAGGAAGACAGCAGCTACTTCAGCCATGAAGGAGAGAACACTTCTTTAAACTGTGTCCACTGAGAAGCCACATCAAATCTGTGTCTGTGTGTGTGTGTGTGTCTGTGTGTGTGTGCCAGTGATGATAGGAAGCTCCGACGTTCTGGTCCTGACCGTCGGGTCGGTTCTGTCTCTGAGTCTGCTCTCAGTGCTCTGCCTGCGATGCAAGAAGAAATCCAGTAAGTGCATAATTTCCCTCCCACAGTAAAACAATCTGGGTCAGTCCTGGGCTGGTTCTGCTCTAACAGCAGATCATCTTTAGGGAGGGAACTTTCACACTTTCTACTATACTGCCCTTTTCAGCCTGGGGTTAAGAATAAGCTTTAGGTACAGGTGCTAAAGTCAGACTTTCTGTATCCGTGCTAATGCTACTAGTTTTGTTTTTTGACGCTTAAAAGATTCCTCCGATTTATTTTCTCTCATATATCTAACACTATAACTCATGTTTGACTTTCTTGACATATTAAATGTATTCTCAACAATTCAATTGTATTCTCAACATGTGGGCTTAATTCTCAAAACGCTAAATAAAGAAAAATGTGCTTTTCTCATTTTTGAGTAAGAATCGGTAGAATTAGGTAGCTCTATTCAAACCTTTCCCCCCAAAACATATAAACAAAGATAAAATAAAAATATACACATAAGGAGTTCAAGTTAAACTGAGGATTAAGAATATTAAATAAAATAATACAAATATTTATAATATCATAAAAAGTACAATATACAACAATGAATATTTAAAAATCACCATGTCACCATATACACAGATGTTTTAAGTAATGATATTAATGATCAAAACCAAATGATTACTAGTAAGATTAGAACTACATATTTTTGAGTAGATTAAGTACATTTACCCAAGTACTATACTTTGAATACGAGGATTGAACCCTCTTTATTTTTGTCACACATGCACACAGTACTACACACTGTGAAATGATCGTGCCGTGACCCGGCAACCCTTCGGAACTAAGGAACTTATACCTAACTTTAAACTCCATTTAAATATGCTTTATACTTCACCTCTCACACATCTCAAGGGAAACTATCGTACCTTTTACTCCACTACATTTATCAGCTTTAGTTACTTTCCAGAATAAGTTTTTCGTCCCCTTCCTGTCCAGTAAATAATAATAATAATAGATTTATTTTGTAAGCGCTTTTACAGGTGCTCAAAGTCGCTTTACAGAGATAGTGAAAAGAAAAGAACAACAAATAAATATAGTTGAAGTCAAATTAAAATCAAGCAATACAACAACAATCACGCATTAAAAGCCAGATTGAAGAGGTGAGTTTTTTGAAGGTGGTGAGGTCAGTGAAGACACATTTCTCCACATTTGTTGATTTCTAACGTCTTGAAACTGAAGGATGCGAACTATTCCGTTACTATCAAGGTGTTTGACAGAAAGCCATATTCATACCACCACTGTACCATCCTTGAAAAACACAATTTCTTGGGTTTTGACCATTTTAAGTCTTTTAAAACTATGTGTTTTATTTATAAATGTTTACATGGACTGCCCCCCCCCCTCAGAAACCAGAGGAGAGTGTGAAGTCCATCGCAGACGGACCACTTTTGGACAAAATGTCCTCTCCATTAAAGGCAGCTCATTGTGGAATAGCCTCCCAAATGAGACACGGGATTGTCCCACTCTCAATAGTTTTAAAAGTCAACTCAAAGAATGGTTGAGGAACAAACAGATGTGCAATCACCGCTACATGCACTTTAACACAGGGGTATCTCCTCCTGCACTTTACATATCATAGCTGCTACATTGTACTGCCATGTGGTAAATGCTTACATGCTGCTCTTGCTCTTTTGCACTTTCTGCATGTCATGTATTTATTTTTGCTATGTATATAAATGTCATGGTCTGACTCTTGTATGTTGTATGTGAGGAGACTGCGGATGGAAATTAGCTTAAAGCTAAAATCCGGCTCATTTACGCTTGTAAGCATTGTTTTGTTTTAAAGTGTTCATCGATGTGCGGTTCAAATAAACGATTAAACAAAACGTTTTAAATCCCCTCTTGGATAAACTGGAAATTGCATCGTCACAACGCTGTTTGTTGATTCTGAGAAACAAACAGCATGATTATATTAAAGAAATAAAGCACTGCTGGGGATTAAACTACCCACCACAGATAGAGGAGTTCACAAGAGGACAACATGAACATACAGCAGCATCACGTAGGCGGATGGAAACACGCTGATGGTCTGACAAGTGTTGCATGGCCCTGTAACATTTTCCATTTCTGATTGAAGCTCCTTTACCATCAGCTCTGTTTGTTTACAGCAGGGGTGTCAAACTCACATACACAGAAAAATGGGTACTAGTGGAGGGCCGGACTGGTTCAATGTTTATTGCAAAACTTATTGAAATGAACTTATTGAATATATTAAACCTGGAACTAACAAAGCTTAAATTATTGCCTATAAAAACAACATGAAACATTATATAATCAGTTGCATTCATTTCTTATGGCTCTATCTGCATATTTTCCGGAGTCATTTCTTATGATTACATTTTTCCACAGGCCAACAACAGCTTCAACAAAACTATTTCCCTCAAAGAGAAAACCAAACATGCCCTGTTGTCGTGAGAGAGAAAGTGCAGAAGGAAACATCCTTGTAAACTCAGTGTGCTGCTCTGTGATGCTAGTTCAAGCAGATACTTGGCATCTCATCTTGGGTGCAAGGTCATCAATGTTTGGGCTCAGGCTCTGAGCTGAGGAGACCCTCAGGATGGAGTGAAGGTGCAATATACCGGCGGGCCAGATCTAATAGTAATTCAACATTATCCTGCGGGCCGAAATTAAATCCACCAAGGGCCTGATTTGGACCCCGGGCCTTGAGACATGTGGTTTACAGTAACTTCACCAATGACTGGTTTTATCAGCAGCCTAGTTCAAAGTGTTGAATAATAATGTGGGTTAAAAAGTATCCCACAATGAACAATACCAGATTTTTATAAACCAGCCGACTGTATGTTCAACACATTTGAGTTGAATGTCAAATCAGTGCGAATTAGACAATATGGATGCTTTGATAATAACGATTTGATAACTGCTGTGTGTCGTTGCAGAGATCATCCACGAGGAGCATCAGATATACGACCCGAGGACGTTGTGAGTATTTGTTCCACAGAAGATCACTTTGACTGTTGTTTCAAACAGATTCGGAAGAAAAAATAAACACAAAACTGTCAAATGATTATACAGACTGTCTGTTGAAAACATCCATTATAATTAACACGGATGTTTTAAAAGAACTGCATACAACAGAACAGTTAGAAAATTGCTCTCATTTTCTTTTCAATCTTCCCGTCAACACTGTGGTTATTTATTTGTTAAAATTCATATTTAATATATACGGATTTGTTTAATATCTTGACAGCCAACGGGGGGGAAGTAGGTTTGCTGTGACAGAATCAAAAACAGGTACGGTTATTTATTTTGATCATCCAACTTTAAGATTATATAACTTATTTTGACTCCTTTTATTGTGCTGTTTTGTGTTTCAGTCACCAGAGCAAACCAGATCACTTCAACCACAGTGTATGTGTTTATCATTACATTTATTATCGTCTTTTTAAAGTCAAATACTGTTTTCATTTAGGGTTATGGTTAGGTGAAATACTGTTTTTTTAATTAAAAAGTCAATTACTGTTTTCTTTTACAGTTGTTTAATGCTGGAAGAAGGAGATTTTAACATTCAACAAGTCATATCGCATAAAATAACATAAAATACCATTATTGGTGTTTGAATTAGTAACAGAGTTTGTGTCGATTACTTTGTTAAAATATATTATTATTTGTTATGCTCCGTGTCACAGGGGCTCTGGTCCCTATTGGTCCCCCCCCAGAACCGCCCATGCTTCATATTGCTTTGATAAATTAAAAAGGTCAGGTCACATTTTTTATATTCCATTCATCTTTTCTCCATTTATGAAAATGTCAAACGGCGCTTTAAATTTCACTTTCTAATGGTCAGAACAAGCCTTGTGACTGAAATCAACCAAACAAGTATACGCTAGGACTATATGAGAATTGAAATTGCATTGTTTTCATTTTTACAACATGTTAAATTATGCTATTTAATATTTTAATTAACATTTTAATAAAGTCCTGTATGGACTTCCATAGAAAACAGTGTTATGGCAAACTAGTAACATTTCTCTCAACATTTGAAATACAAAATGTCCCGTGATAACAAATAAAATAATCATTTGATTTGTTTTTTTAGAGAAACTCAAGAGGACTTTGAGGACTTTTCAACAGGTACCATATTTTTCTCATGCTAAAGATGTCAATGCACACTAACAGTGGAAGTTAAATTATAACGACAATGTCTTACAGCTGCAAATGACGAGCAGTCAGACTATCAAAATGTCTCGGATGGTGAGAACACACACCTAACACACACTATTTAAAACATACTGTAGATATCATTATACTTATTAAGTGTTTGCATTTTCACATATGTTCATCCCTACTGTCGCTGCAGCTCAAACCGGAAATCCAGAACACACATATGTGTAAGTTTTACTTTTACTTGTTTGTATTTCTAAAAAAACTGTAAAAAGCAATTAATGGAAGCATTTAATTATTTTTAATGAAAATAATTAAAAGGGACCTATCATGCAAAATGCACTTTTGTATGTATTTTATAACTATGTGTCCCCAGTGCGTCGGGGAATTCACGCAGCGTCAGAAAATAAAACCCTCTCTCTTTTCCTCCGTACCCAAATCTTTTAAAAACGGGGGTACAACGAGTGGATAAAGATTTGCTGCCGATATGACGTCAAATCGGCGGTGGACCCACATAAAGTTGCTATCAGAAACAATGCCTGACGTGTTTTAGACGTAATCTCGTCTTTGTTTACATTAGCAAGCCTCGCTAACACTCAGAGCTAACCTGTACTGAAGAGCACATGTAGGAAAGCAGGAAATAACAAAATAACTCACCTTGTGATAAACCCGCAAGAGAAAAAGCATTTGAGCTCCATACTGTTTCAGAAATAATCCTTGATGTGGTTTAGAACAGGATGGCGTTTTATCACAGCAGAATTTAACTCTATCTCCAGTAGAATTCTGATCAGGCATTAGCTCCGCCTCCTCTTTTTTTCTTTTTTCAAGCTAAGGACCCAAAATCCGCGTTTCTCTAACAGGGCTGCAAAAGAGGGGTATGAGCCGTATGAGGCATGGCTACAATGGGGGATCTGTTTGGGAATTGAAGCAAAAACCTTCACAGACATGTTTTGTATAGGCATGGCCCTACAATATATTTTTCCAATATAGCACAACAGGTCCACTTTAAATTCTGCGTCAGAAGAGAAGAGACCTTTCTGAACCAAGAATATGCAGATTTATTTTAAGTCTTAATCTCTTAAAGCGTCATTCTTTTTATAATTTTGTTATATATATACTATTATTTTCAATTGTCAGAATGTAATCACCCAGCCGGTTTTTAATTGGAATAAAATACAAGAGGAGATTCTTTCAGGAACTTGTATTCATGCATGCTGAAAAAGGACATTTTGCATAATAAGTCATTTAATTTTTAAAGAATATTTTGCTAGTAATATTTGTATTGTTAATACTTTTAAGATCACCTAACGTAGAATCTGTTTTTACGTCTAATGGACTATATAAGTGTATTTTTTTATAGAAAGTATAATTCGTAAATTTTCAAAAATTAGATAAAGAACTAAATGTTTTTAATTGTACCTAAACTTTAACCAACGTAGGTATGACGGATCTAGTATGTTCTAATAAACTATGTATTATGTTAATTATGCAACCTTTTAAATATCCATTGTTTTAGTAAAAGAAAAAAAGGTTAAAACACGCGATATTTTATGTTTGCATAGAGCTCCACTCCCGATGTCAGCTTACATAAACGAACTAATGACTAAAGAAATAATCACTGGTGAGCATTTTTACTTTATACTTCACTTTGGCCTCAAGTACATTAAAATACTTTGTATACGTTTAGCATTATTGATTTAACATTTATTACATTATTGTTATAGATCAGAATCCAGCTGTTTATGCTAACGTCATCTCATCACTGCAGATTAAAGAGGGTCAGTTCAATCATTGAGTCGGAATAATACAGACACAAATAATACAGATACAAAATAAAAACTCTCAACTTGTTTTATCTTATTTTTATTAAACAGACGAGGACGACTACGAGAACTCGGATTTTCTGGACAAAATTGTGGAGGAGGAAGAAGACAGTGAGTGCTATCATTGATATTTATTTATTATCCGACACATTGTACTGAAAGGCTAAGGGGCGGGACATCTCTAAGCGGTTGACCAATCACAACAGAGTGTATCAGGACAGGAAAAAAAGCACCTATTCTGATAATGGCTTAAAGGTGGGGTAGGTAATTCACTTCAGAAACACTTTGTTATATTCCATGGAATGCTCTTAACATCCCGATAGCAATGAATACATTAAATGCTTTGACAATAAATCCATACAAAAATTCATCTGTGGAAGCCGTGGCACTGTAAACAGCACGACCAATCATCTGAGCCGGCCCGGCTAAAGTAACTGGATGGCCTACCTGCCTGTCAGCCTTCCATCTGTGCACAAACTTATCTCGTGCCCTCATTGGTCATGTGCGCGTTCGTGTGTGTTGGAGGAGGGGCTCTGTAAGGAAGTCTGAAGGAAGGAGCAGGTTTTTCCGGTTGTGTATTTTGAAGTTCTAGCACACTCGAGATGGTTTCTCCATTCTTACCTACCCTTAATTGTTTTAAGTCCTATTTTGAGTAATGTAACTTGTTGCTGCTTTTATCTGTTTCACCCTCTGTAAAGTAAATATCTTTTGGGTTTTGGAGAGTTGATGGAAACAAAGAGAAATGTAGGTTGTCATAGATTCTTTTAACCTGCTGGAATGTTCGTTTTTTTAGGTTATCTATCCCAGTTTGTTCTTAATCTTATAGAATTGTGATGCCGTCTCGTCTTTGTGTATATTTTTAGTCTCATTTGTGCGTTTATTTGAAACTTTTTATTTGTTTGCTTTCCATTTTCACCTGGACTCCCTGACAGAATATAGCATCTCAGTGGTATTTTTTAAATGAGAAATATTTGATGTTGCATCGCTTCTGGGAAATCGAGTAGAGTACAAATATCGAAACAGTCATTTTCTTTTCTTACAGATGAGCCAGATTATGTGAATGAGAACGGCTGACAGCAGAGAAGATGTTCCTGCACCCTGACCTCTTGGAGTTAAATTCAAAGTAAAATTATTATTTTTTAAAGTGTTTGTGTTCCTGCTCTGTGTCATGTGTTAATGATGTAGACAGCTGTGTGAATAAACGCTCATGGAGCTTGGCTGCCATCTACAGGTGAACAATATGTTATAATATAATTACAAACATGTTTTCTTGTTGGTATTCTGAAATATTTAGGTGCTTTCTAGAGACAACATTTTAAAATATTAGTTATGAACTTTCAGCAAGTGTTTTCAAAAGTGAATGATTTGAAAAACGTACTGCTCCTCACAAACCTAGAGTCAAATCTTTTATTTACATCACATTTGATTTGACTTAAAATAAAACCCTGAATAACAAGGCTTAAGAGAAAGCTCTGGATGTTTATAGAGCTAATTTAAAATAAGGTTTTTGCATGAAAGGTGACGGATCAAGCATTATGTATAACTCACAACAGGGTTAGAGATCGAACCCATAGGATTAGTTTCTTCCGTATTTATTAAAGTGATTTAAATAGAAGTTTATTAGCAGAATTCCTTTCCAACTTCCGTCTCTGATTTGTATCTCTTAATGTTAGAACATTTGTACAAGTTTGTTATCGCCACAGTAATTTCTAATAGAGAAATTAAGAATTTCACGTTAAAAGTCACACATGCAGGATAATATATCAACCAGCTGAGCACTTAATACTATTGTGTGCTAAAATCAACATTTGTGAAGTAACTAAAGCGGCCAGGTACACGTAGCGGAGTAAAACAATAACTGAGTTTTACGAGGTGATGGATGATCGTCTTGAATTAAATCTATGTTTTATTATAACCCGTGTAATGATGGACTTGAGTTGTGATCACGACGCGTCCTTACAATGAAGACTCAGTGACAGGAAGGTTTTTACACGGTTTTATTAATCTGAGCAGATCAGATGAAGCAGCTCAGAAACCAACGACCAGATTTAAGGACAAAACGTCTACGTACACACACATCATTCTTATATATATACTTCATGTATACACACACTCAGGGTGGTAAAGTGACGTTTTCCATGGTTGGCTATGCAGCATTCACACAGGAGCAATGCTTAAGTATTTTGGGGTTAACGCCCAGATTGAACAGATTCAGGCGACAGCAACAACCGATAAATTCAGCAGGCCATGATTATCTGAGAAAATAAACTAGTTCCACTTCAACAAGCCTTTTGATCTATCGTTTCCTCAGTGAGGTGAAGTAAGGCAGAATAAATCTCCAGTTTTACTTTAAAAACAAAGATGGAATAGAAGATTTAATAGCTGGTGAAGCGGCATTTGTTTTGAGGGAATTTCAGGAGTAGATACACACACACCTCTCACACACACATTCACACACACCAACGGGCTGATGGGAAGTTTAGGCGCTGCTCAGTGCGTCCACGCCGGGCAGGACTTTCCCTGAAAGAGAGGAAGCAAACACACCGTCATGAACAAGCGACACAAACAAAAACAGCAGTAAAAAGGAAATAAACCCACAAATATTTGGAAAATGGTTGTGAAAATACTGAATGTCCTCTTCCAATATGAGAGTAACATGATAACAAAGGCATCCCAACTGTAGCTGTGAACATGACATGATGTGTGATTACCTAAAAGAGCATCAGGACTGCTTTAGGCATATGATAGCTATGTGATTAACATGATGATTCAGCCTCTATGGAGAGAGACATATGACAAGCATGCTCATTTCTGACGTGGAGCTAATCTGAAGTAAACATTGAAGACTGCTTTCTATTCCTCCATCGTGTAACTCCCTCTCTTGTAATCAGCATGTGAAGGACACTGTTCAGGAACTAGTTGATGCTCTGTATGTGATGACTACTTCCATTCTGGAGAGGATCACAGATACATGGATCCTGAGGTTGAAGCTCAAGCCGGGGACGAGTGAGATTTTTCTAACAAGAATAAAAGTGTTTTATGAGACATGTCAATAAAGCAAGATGTCACTAGGTCCATGTTTCTGTGTTTCCGCCTCTCACCCTCCAGCAGCTCCAGGCTGGCTCCGCCCCCGGTGCTCACGTGGCTGACTTTGTCCTCCGTGTCCCACTTAGCGCAGCAGGTGGCGGTGTCACCCCCCCCCTAAACACAAACACAGATCAAATGTCATTTAGAAGTTTACCAAACTTATTCAAATTGACCTCAGGTTGTGTTTACAGTATATTTCAAGCTCAGGCTTGTTCGTGGTTGGCTGGCTTTTTGATATGCATGTACAATATAACATTGTAAAAGCAAGTCATGTGGTATGTCAATTCCAAAGGGGTAAGGAATATTTCCATACACTAATTATCTTTATTGCACATTTGTGTATTAGCAAATCCCATAAAGCAGGACTTCCTCGAATCATTTATTAATTTGGCTTCAGGAGTTAGATAGGTAATAATTCTTGCTCTAATTATATTGTTGTGAAAGCTGTATTTATTCAATTGTGTTGCTAAAAATGACCTTTTACGTGAAGACATTAAACACATCATGATGCAATTTAATTCTTAACTGTTGACAAATACTATATTTTTATAAACCGAGAATAAATGCACCACAATACAACTCTATATAAACTCTGCTCACTGTCTGCTAACAGCTAACTAGCTCTCCATTTGCCAATTTTAAAATACATGTGTTGTTCATGATGGAGCACAATCAGGGGAAACACAGGGTACAAAACAGAACACATTTTCAGAAAGGTGGCAGCAACTTGGTATCAAAGTATCCTTTCTTATGAAATCCCTTTTTCTTTAACCAAAGATTTAGATTGTTATGCGCACTGCATGACGACACTGCTGAAACCAAATGGACGCCGACTCTCTTACCGATGATAGTGACGCAGCCGGACTTGGTGACCTCCACCACTTTGTCCATCATGCTCTTGGTGCCCCTGGCGAAGTTGTCAAACTCGAACACGCCGACGGGGCCGTTCCACACGATCTGCTTCGCCCGGCCCACCACCTCGGAGTTGGTCTTAATGCTCTCCGGTCCACAGTCCAGACCCTGAGGAGGGGTTATATTTAAAAAGGTCACCCATTATGCAAAACCCTCTTCTTCATGTCTCTTCTACATCAACATGTGTCCCCTCTTCTCCATGTCTCTTCTACATCAACATGTGTCCCCTCTTCTTCATGTCTCTTCTACATCAACATGTGTCCCCTCTTCTTCATGTCTCTTCTACATCAACATGTGTCCCTCTTCTTCATGTCTCTTCTACATCAACATGTGTCCCCACTTCTTCATGTCTCTTCTACATCAACATGTGTCCCCTCTTCTTCATGTCTCTTCTACATCAACATGTGTCCCCTCTTCTTCACGTCTCTTCTACATCACATGTGTCCCCTCTTCTTCATGTCTCTTCTACATCAACATGTGTCCCCATCTTCTTCATGTCTCTTCTACAATCAACATGTGTCCCCTCTTCTTCATGTCTCTTCTACATCAACATGTGTCCCCCTCTTCTTCATGTCTCTTCTACATCAACATGTGTCCCCTCTTCTTCATGTCTCTTCTACATCAACATGTGTCCCCTCTTCTTCATGTCTCTTCTACATCAACATGTGTCCCCTCTTCTCCGTGTCTCCTCTACATCAACATGTGTCCCCTCTTCTTCGTGTCTCTTCTACATCAACATGTGTCCCCTCTTCTTCATGTCTCTTCTACATCAACATGTGTCCCCTCTTCTTCGTGTCTCTTCTACATCAACATGTGTCCCCTCTTCTCCGTGTCTCCTCTACATCAACATGTGTCCCCTCCTTCTCCGTGTCTCTTCTACATCAACATGTGTCCCCTCTCTCCGTGTCTCTTCTACATCAACATGTGTCCCCTCTTCTCCGTGTCTCCTCTACATCAACATGTGTCCCCTCTTCTCCGTGTCTCTTCTAATCACATGTGTCCCCTCTTCTCCGGGTCTCTTACATCACATGTGTCCCCTCTTCTTCATGTCTCTTCTACATCAACATGTGTCCCTCTTCTTCATGTCTCTTCTACATCAACATGTGTCCCCTCTTCTTCATGTCTCTTCTACATCAACATGTGTCCCTCTTCTTCATGTCTCTTCTACATCAACATGTGTCCCCTCTTCTTCCATGTCTCTTCTACATCAACATGTGTCCCCCTCTTCTTCATGTCTCTTCTACAATCAACAGGTGTCCCCTCTTCTTCATGTCTCTTCTACATCAACATGTGTCCCCTCTTCTTCATGTCTCTTCTACATCAACATGTGTCCCCTCTTCTTCATGTCTCTTCTACATCAACATGTGTCCCCTCTTCTTCATGTCTCTTCTACATCAACATGTGTCCCCTCTTCTTCATGTCTCTCTACATCAACATGTGTCCCCTCTTCTTCATGTCTCTCTACATCAACATGTGTCCCCTCTTCTTCATGTCTCTTCTACCTCAACATGTGTCCCCTCTTCTTCATGTCTCTTCTACATCAACATGTGTCCCCTCTTCTTCATGTCTCTTCTACATCAACATGTGTCCCCTCTTCTTCATGTCTCTTCTACATCAACATGTGTCCCCTCTTCTTCATGTCTCTTCTACATCAACATGTGTCCCCTCTTCTTCATGTCTCTTCTACATCAACATGTGTCCCCTCTTCTTCATGTCTCCTCTACATCAACATGTGTCCCCTCTTCTTCATGTCTCTTCTACATCAACATGTGTCCCCTCTTCTTCATGTCTCTTCTACATCAACATGTGTCCCCTCTTCTTCATGTCTCTTCTACATCAACATGTGTCCCCTCTTCTTCATGTCTCTTCTACATCAACATGTGTCCCCTCTTCTTCATGTCTCTTCTACATCAACATGTGTCCCCTCTTCTTCATGTCTCTTCTACATCAACATGTGTCCCCTCTTCTTCATGTCTCTTCTACATCAACATGTGTCCCCTCTGTGAAAAGAGACTGAAAGTTTCAGGAACAAAGATTCTCACTTTTTGATCCATTTCTATAAAACCTGTCTGAAAATGAGCTGATCAGATTTTGGACACTTTATGATGTCATAGCGATGTTTTGTCTTGTGTAACCATTAGCCAATCAGCAACCAAGGTAACCCCCAAGGCTGAAACAGAGGGGATTATGGGATGCTGCAATGATCCGTTTGGTGTTTGG